CTTTGCAACACCAAATAAACTATGGAGTGATATAAAAAATGGAAACAGCAACATGATCATTTCAATTAGTTTAGGTCAATCAAGCAATGTAGCCATTTAACACTTATACCCATCAAACGAACAGTCAAACAATTCAAAAATCAAGGATCTCGTAGTCATTATCGTAATCACAAGCTATGACATATACAAACATCAAATATTGTAATGCAAGTCACAATAATCAAAATCAAGTAATGAAATACTAAACATCTCTGTAATGTAGATAGATTACTTCATCTCAAATGACAGCTCAAAACAAACAAGCAAACAAACAAAGTATCCCCAAAAAATTACTTAAGATAAAGCACTTGCCGACAATTGACTCTTTGAGCTGAAGCGGCCTGAATCTCCGACCGAACAAAGAACACACCGTCTGGAGAGAAAGTGATAACATTGTTGAGAGTCTTCTGCTCGACGTTAATAACCTGCAAAACATCGCCAGCTAAGGTTCCGAAAACCGGTGCGTTCTTCACGATGAAGAGTTGCTCCTTCTCTGTGGTCCACAGCATCCGCCACGTGTCTGAAAGCGATTCTTTAGTGGTGACGCTCCGCGACTGGTTGCTGCCAGTGAATCGACGGCCTCGATTATGTGGGAAAGCCTCTGTGTGTCAGACTGTGTTTTGAGGCCGCGGTCCTGGTCGGCGATCAGGCGGAGGAGGTGGCGCTTGGCGTCGACAGACAGAGACTGCGATTGGTCGGTGAGGGACAAACGCGTGACCCTAGCGGATCTCTTTGGCGGGAGAGAGAAATTGGAAATGGCGGGAAGAGAGAGGGAGTTGGCGGCCATTTTTGAGTGTTGGCGGAGCTTTTTTTTAGTGTAGTTCTGGAGAGAGAAAAAATAAAAACTTCTACAATTATCCAAATCAATTCGATGAATGGATGGATGGGAGTGCGGGCGGGTTAAGTTAAATCCAATATAATCGGACCTAATAGTATAAGGGAAATTTACATATATAGATTCCTTGTAAGATATATTTACATATCTACGTAGTAAAGAAAGTTTAATCAAAATGAATATTTGTGGGGTATTTTTTTTCACATCTACGAACTTATCTTTCTCTCACCTAATAATTAATTTTTCTCTCCAATGTCTACAAATCGAGCACGCAATCAATTTTTCCCGAATGACTCGCAAAGAAAACGGAAATTGAAAAAAGAAATTAACAAATATGATGCCTAGAATCAAGGAATTCTCGAATTCATAAATTCAAATGGAATTGTCCGCTCTTCCACATCTTGAATTCCAAAAAAATCGTTAATCGTACTTAAAAAAATAAAGCTCCGGTCGAGCTGGAAAATAATAAATTTTTCTTCATGAAATCTCATATGTTTAGATATATTGTATATATACATTAGATAGACATGATCTGACAATTCTTTAAATATTAATTGTATAGTTATACAAAAGATAAACAACATATAAACAACACATAAACATTATCTGACAGTTCTCTAAATATTAACTGTATAATTATACAAAAGATAAACAACACAGAAACGAAGTAAAACATAATACAGAGTTCTAAAGGACTGCAAAATCCAAAATATGTAGTTATACATAAGATAAACAACATATGTAACTTTGCACACTCCCAAAAACAACACAATACAGATTATGTATAACTGACGTATAATTTGTATATATGTTTACTACACTCCTTCGTGTTTTATATACCGACATATAAACTTTAAATAAATAATCTCCTGATCAAAACTCTGGTGCGTGTTGAAGCCTGCAATTTTGGTGCGTATTGAAATAAAAACTCCGGTCGTACACCCGTGAGGCCAGATTACCTCCATTATTCTTCAATCTCTTCTACATATACTCATTCATCATCTTCTCTGTTTTTTTTTTCACTTCTCCATTTCCAGAGCAAGAAACCCTCACCTTTCTCCAATCCCACCATATTATGAGCATTAGGTACAATAGGAATAAGCAAATGAAGGTTGACGTGAAGACGGCCGGCACCACGATCTTGGCAACCTCTGACCCGATAAATACTTCCTCGTGTGCCCACTCAATTATCCACACTGAATAAGCAACAGCACGTACAAACCGTCATTGCCCTTAAACTAGGAGAGATTTTTGGTAGAAATTATGGAAAAAAGATTTAAATTTTTTAGGATGAAACTTGGAGAAGGCTTTTGGTAGGAGGTTATGGAAAAGATTTCCACGACACGATATATTTGCTCAGTAAATCATTTATTCAATTAACTGTAATTTGTTATTTAAATTTAACTTCATTATCCCTAATTTTAATTATTAGTGGTATTATTAAAAATAAAATTTGTCATTCATATTTTTTAAAAGAAAAAGTGTAACTTTAACAGTAAAGTGTGTAATTTTCTCATAGTATAAAGCCCACTCAGGCCCCGATTAGTTGGCTAATTGGGCCCAACCTGCAAAACGACGTCGTATGGTTTCAAAAACTTTTGCTCAAACCCTATGAAATGTTCTTCACTTGAGTTATTGCATTTGAGCTATAGAGATAAAGTACGACACTCACCGCGCAAAGCCGATTAGA